GCGGATAATGACTACACAGATTTAGGCATGGTTACAAGGAATAAAAAGAAGTATATATGATAAGGAACAAATGATAGGGAGCTCCAAGAAATGTGAATCGACGGTTTAAGCTCCGGATTCTCATATCAACTTAAAACAGGCCGGGGAGGAGCATAGCCTGAGCGATGTAGGTGATGGGATTAAGAGACAAAATGAGGTCAGTGAGTGGCTTACAGTCATAGCCGTATAATTAAGGAAACAGAGTGAGACTTGCACTTCTGACGCCAAATTAGACTGCAAGGATAGGAAGACTTTAGGAGACAAAATTTCACAGTTTGTCAAGACTTGTCTCGTTGAGAGGCATTCATAATTTATATGTTAAAATTGTCTTCCGGAAAGAACGAATAGGCTAGATTTGAGCACGATCTATGCTACATTAAGTTACTAATAAACAAACTAATCTCAGAAACAGTTGTAAGGGTTGTTATTAAAACGCTTTAGAGAATGAGACAAGAAAAAAAATCTCAAAGTGCGCAAAACGGCCATCACTTTAAAGTTTCTTCATTTCAGTTTGAAAAGAAGCTTAATATTAAATGATTCGCGCAAACTGACTAGATCCGAAATATAAGTCCATCATGATCTCATGCTGGATGGTTGTATTAAGGCACGATCGGTAGAAATAATAATAAATTAGCACCGCTGAAACGGTGTGAAATACCTTATACACGCGGAAAAACGTTTAGGGCAAGACGACCCCTAACCACTATGGATGGTACAGAAAAGTTTTTCACAGAATTTAGGGCATTCCACACAGCCTATCAAATAAAAATGGCGGAGCTCAAAACTGTACAGAGCACAAAAATCCTTGATGTCACTGCCATCTACGAAACGTGAATAACGAAAGAAGTGCAAGATAGTTAAATTAAGTGGTTTGGTTTCTTGCTTTGTAGGGATGGCAGACTAAACCGTGAGGGTGGCCGGTTTGTCCCGTACTTGAAAAACACCGTAACCATACGAGCCGTCGAGACGGTGACACACGACTCAGGAACATGTGAACTGCTGTGTTGCCGACTGAAATATAGAAGGCAAGATATTAAGTTATTCGCAGTGTGACGGAAAGAAAACGATGAAAAGTCCTCCAGAGAATTTTGTTAAATAGTAATAACAGTTATTTATTTATTCACTCCGTCTTGTATTTCGACATTTATTCAGGTCTTGTTTCACCACACTTTGAGTCCTTCAGTTTTTCTCGTCTGACTCTGTTTATGTGGCCTCGGTTAAAGACCCTAACCACACAATCCCCAAAGCTGAACACGAGACAAGTGAGAAAATAGATATTCAACATTTAAAGCGGAGAGAAACCCAACGATGGAGAAGGGGAAAGTAATTAATTCTATAAATTCGAGTTGGTCGAATAGAGTGACTCGGCTTTGCAATCGTGATCCTATATATTTAACAGTCTTTTATCTATTTTAAACATATTGTTCTATATCCAGCTTAAATGTGTTCTTCATAGTATACTGATGATTAGTACAATACGAATGAGTCAGGATAGATAATGCTGTGGCATCCAAGTAAGATCTTATAGATTAGGCAGTTATATCATAATAAATCTACAAGTTTAGTATTAGGTCTATTATTAAAGTAGTACTAATATCATAGTCGATTATAATTCTACAGACCTACCTTCTGCTACCTAATTTAACTGTTGAGTATTGTCCGGTTATTGACATTAAAGTCGTACTGGACTACGCACAGGGTCACGGTGTGATCCAGAGTATGACTTCCAACCTTTGACTGTATACCTGGAATGGTTGCTGGATTCCTTGCAGACAGATATATGGCCCCACCTTGTAGGGAATATTTTATCGACTCTCAGGTATAGAAATCTTGATTAACAACTATTATTTATGTTGATTAAGACGTTGACAAATCGAGTGAGTTTTGACAGAGGAGACTTGGAAATGTAATTAAAACTACCTCAGGAGTACGAATGGTTTACTTAAACCAGAATGCTAAATACTCCTAAACCCTAAGTGAGCCCAGGAGTAAACTTCCAGATACTACACATGCATTGCACACCTAACCAAGGAGGATTAATAGAAAAATAAAAATTTAGTTTGGTATTTCAGCCACACTTTGAATTTCACGGCCAACGTTGTACGGTTTTGTAGTAACTTACGTTTAAGTATTGTAAAGTAGGATTTAGACAGCATACTATTTGGATCCCACAAAAACGTAAGCCACAAACTAATATACTATTTAAAGTAGTTTTAACCCAATCACGTGAGGTGGTAACCTAATAGTGTCTACAACACTCAGAATCACTTCCCTTGATTTCGTTAGGGACTGCTTAATTTAGGATACACCACGCCTAGGTGTAACGTTTGCATTGAGAAACGCGGTCTACACAGTTTATGTTGTCGTGTTCAGAAAAGCATAAGCTCCCGCTTAACGAATTTCTGTATCTTTGTCAAATGAGAACTGTTTAGATTCGACGCAGTCTGTGTCGCCCAAAAACGCTTCGTGTGCTATAAAGAAGAATGTAGTCTGACCTGATCGAATAAATTTGGTTTGTTTGTTCTGATTTATCAAATGCATAGTTTGATTACAAATTGTTAGACACCATACTCACCCTAGCTTTGTTCCGGCACGTTGGAGATCCCACCAGATATGACCTACAAAATTCTTTGTCTCTCTTGGACTTATTCTTCATATACGGAGATGATGTCAGTCAACTGACTTCCTCCCCCACCTTTGTGGAAAAGTGAGCATGTGATCATCTTATCCAAGACCATGGCTGAGATTACCTGTGAAGCGGTTGCGACGCCACGTCCTAACATATGGAAGGCAGACATGAAGGCGGTAAACTCCGCAGCTTCGGCTGTACACTGGAAAATTGACTCAGCAACATCAACAGAAGAGGCATGGACTCATTTCAGGCAGTGTCTGAACCATTTATACCCTGGACAGCCCCAAACAATAAATACCGCTATCATTGGATAGACAGAGATATTTGACACTTACTAAGACAAAAGAAATATTGGGACTTCACCATCAGTCTTGAAATAACAAATACGATGTGACGCCACAGGTCGATCCGAAACAAGTCTATTATCACAATCAAGACAGCAGGGCAAAAATATGAAAAGCATTAGGCCTAATCTATAATGAAGGAGCCGAAGGTACTGTTCTCGTACATAAATTACGGAACATGCACGAATCATTGTATTCCCTACATAAATATTGAGGAGAGTACATCTCAAATGATAGAGGATGATCAGGACAAAGCAGAAGCTATGGCGAACAATTTTGGGGCAGCTTCACTACGGACCTTTTTCTAGACGAAAAACTAGACACAAATACAAAGTCACATAACCGGCTGCTCACAGTGGACTTCAATCAAGACGATTTTACTGACAGCCTTTACCACTTCAGAAACGGAAAAATCAACAGGATTGGATAAACCGCACTCGAACTCAGTGGATATTGTCTACATAGACATCAGCAAAGTATCTTTTATAGTGCCGAAAAATATATTACTATTAAGGCCGGAAATCGTACCCACCAAATGAAATCAAAAGACAGAAGCGAGAAGGTTCGAAGATATATTTGATAGGTTATTAATATATCGAGGAATGGCTGATCTAGACTGGCTGGCGATTGCATGGGATGTTGAGCACGGCGTTCCCACTCTTGATCTGGTGCGGATGCATGACCGAGCGCCTTCAGCTAGGTAAGTCAATTAAAACTAATGTGGTCAGCATCAAATGTCAAGAAGGCTTACAGAGCTATTTATTTGGGAGATTTATTTACCGCCACAGATCACTCCCCAACTGATGGAGTAGTAATGACCTTAAGACGTTGCCAACCTGAAGTCTAAATCCAACTAGTTTGTCATTGATTAACACTCCTATGACAGCTTAACATGTTCAGAAGTGTCTTGTCGTTTTTCCTTACTATAAGGAGCTATGTGGTACAATATAATAGTATAGTACCTCAAGGTTCTGTCCTAGGTCCTTTACATTTTATACTGTATGTAAATGATCTCCTTAGCACAGTTGAGCCCTCAATACTACTATGCACTGGTGATATAAAAATCCAGCAAGGAAGAAAAGGAGTCGCAGATGCATGCACACTTCAGGTGGACTTACATGTTCTGATTAGCTGGTCTAAAAAGTGGCCAAGTATGTTCACATGCACTTCGAGGATACAAAGGTAAATAGGTACAGCATAGGAGAAGCGCCTGTACCCGTGGTCTGGTCTCACAAGAGTCTTGGGGTGGCATCGAGTCATGGTGTTAAGACCACAGCCCATTGTCGTGAGGTTGCAACTAAGAGGTGTGGAGCCTTATGGGCTTTAAGTCAGACACTTACAAAGTTAGATACTAGCATATTCACTACTGTATACACAACCTCAGTGAGATCGGAACTCGACAACCGCTCTCAGGCTGCAAGCTCCTGTTTAAAAGGTGTCTCGGATATCTTAGAAAATGTACAGAGGGAAGCTATCTGTTCAATTCCGGAAATTCGGGGTTTACCATACAAATTGGCGGCTTGAGTAGCTAGACCTCCTTACGATGTCCTATCTCTGACTGAATGACTGACTGACTGATCGCGGACTAGGAGGTGATCTGAGTTTGATATGTGAATACCCGATGTATGCTCTCTTTTTCTTGCTACTACATCAGGGCAACTCAAAATACACAGCAGGCTAGCGGAAGAACCAAGGGCTAACAAAATACTAGCAGCATACATGTTTTCACACCGAGTCATCAGGTCACCTCTGAGACCTCTATACTCTTAACAACGAAGATGAAGTGATTCGAGGCCCTCTCCATAGGGTTTGAATTTGGGACCCGAAATAGATTTCATGGTTCGCCTGTGTTCGAGTATACTCTCATTCTTTTGGAGTGAGAAAGGAAATACTTTATTCTGTACTCTAAATTTGATGGACTAAAGCTTTTAGATGTTAAACGTTAAGCGGGAGCTTATGCTTTTCTGAACACGACAACATAAACTGTGTAGACCGCGTTTCTCAATGCAAACGTTACACCTAGGCGTGGTGTATCCTAAATTAAGCAGTCCCTAACGAAATCAAGGGAAGTGATTCTGAGTGTTGTAGACACTATTAGGTTACCACCTCACGTGATTGGGTTAAAACTACTTTAAATAGTATATTAGTTTGTGGCTTACGTTTTTGTGGGATCCAAATAGTATGCTGTCTAAATCCTACTTTACAATACTTAAACGTAAGTTACTACAAAACCGTACAACGTTGGCCGTGAAATTCAAAGTGTGGCTGAAATACCAAACTAAATTTTTATTTTTCTATTAATCCTCCTTGGTTAGGTGTGCAATGCATGTGTAGTATCTGGAAGTTTACTCCTGGGCTCACTTAGGGTTTAGGAGTATTTAGCATTCTGGTTTAAGTAAACCATTCGTACTCCTGAGGTAGTTTTAATTACATTTCCAAGTCTCCTCTGTCAAAACTCACTCGATTTGTCAACGTCTTAATCAACATAAATAATAGTTGTTAATCAAGATTTCTATACCTGAGAGTCGATAAAATATTCCCTACAAGGTGGGGCCATATATCTGTCTGCAAGGAATCCAGCAACCATTCCAGGTATACAGTCAAAGGTTGGAAGTCATACTCTGGATCACACCGTGACCCTGTGCGTAGTCCAGTACGACTTTAATGTCAATAACCGGACAATACTCAACAGTTAAATTAGGTAGCAGAAGGTAGGTCTGTAGAATTATAATCGACTATGATATTAGTACTACTTTAATAATAGACCTAATACTAAACTTGTAGATTTATTATGATATAACTGCCTAATCTATAAGATCTTACTTGGATGCCACAGCATTATCTATCCTGACTCATTCGTATTGTACTAATCATCAGTATACTATGAAGAACACATTTAAGCTGGATATAGAACAATATGTTTAAAATAGATAAAAGACTGTTAAATATATAGGATCACGATTGCAAAGCCGAGTCACTCTATTCGACCAACTCGAATTTATAGAATTAATTACTTTCCCCTTCTCCATCGTTGGGTTTCTCTCCGCTTTAAATGTTGAATATCTATTTTCTCACTTGTCTCGTGTTCAGCTTTGGGGATTGTGTGGTTAGGGTCTTTAACCGAGGCCACATAAACAGAGTCAGACGAGAAAAACTGAAGGACTCAAAGTGTGGTGAAACAAGACCTGAATAAATGTCGAAATACAAGACGGAGTGAATAAATAAATAACTGTTATTACTATTTAACAAAATTCTCTGGAGGACTTTTCATCGTTTTCTTTCCGTCACACTGCGAATAACTTAATATCTTGCCTTCTATATTTCAGTCGGCAACACAGCAGTTCACATGTTCCTGAGTCGTGTGTCACCGTCTCGACGGCTCGTATGGTTACGGTGTTTTTCAAGTACGGGACAAACCGGCCACCCTCACGGTTTAGTCTGCCATCCCTACAAAGCAAGAAACCAAACCACTTAATTTAACTATCTTGCACTTCTTTCGTTATTCACGTTTCGTAGATGGCAGTGACATCAAGGATTTTTGTGCTCTGTACAGTTTTGAGCTCCGCCATTTTTATTTGATAGGCTGTGTGGAATGCCCTAAATTCTGTGAAAAACTTTTCTGTACCATCCATAGTGGTTAGGGGTCGTCTTGCCCTAAACGTTTTTCCGCGTGTATAAGGTATTTCACACCGTTTCAGCGGTGCTAATTTATTATTATTTCTACCGATCGTGCCTTAATACGATCAACCAGCATTTAATTACATTTCCAAGTCTCCTCTGTCAAAAATCACTCGATTGGTGGTGAATCAGCAGTTGCTAACATACCCGCCACTTCTCATTCCTCCGCACGGAATTATATCCTGCCTTTGTCGCTTCTGCTTAATATCTTGTGTGATAAGGCTAAAACATCTCTGAAACTGTGATGATCAATCCGAGATCACATCACATTTACCAAAATACCATAAGTAATTTAGTTCAGAAGTAAAGATTGCGACTTTCATGGTGAACTGAGATGTTGATCTTCATATCCTTAGTTCTAGTCATAAAGAAATAAATAACTCAACAATCGTTTCTGTCTCCTTATTGCCTAAGTGGTTAGGATATCAGAGTTGTTCAGCGGTATACTTAGACTATACAGAGCGTTTTCCAACAGCTCATTTAAAATTAACGACAAACTACGTACTCGTTTAACTGATAGTTCCCACTGTTGAAACATAATAAGTGACTAGGCGTTTTTCAACTCATTATGGGTTCTAACCCTAACCGAGTCATAAATCTGTATAAACGCTAACTGATGGCGTAAGTCTACTGGGTAGGTGGTCAATTTCCCTTAGTGATGGCTCAAAATGCATCACAACAATGCAGACGGGTTGTATGAATCTGCAACATTAAATTATTCATTTTGAATTCACCATTCCCTTTATCTATCCTCGTTTTTGTCTTTTTGTATAGTGTATATATTTGTCCTTTTTCTTTTTCCAGAATGAATAAAAATGGAGAGTACCATTTGGTCATTTTGTGTCCCGATTTATCCCATTAATTTCAGTCAATTGACCCGTTCTTTACTTCAGTATGTTAGTTCGTCTGTTAACAAGTTCATCCCCGACCTAAAAGGTATCCTTGTGGATTTTGACGCAAAAAGTTTACAAATCATAACTGAAGTTGATTATTCTGATCGTTATGTCCCTACTGGTTTTACTTGTGGTCTTTTCCTGATTCATCCAGAGTTAAACCATCTTCGTGTACACGGGAAGATAAAGGTCAATATTTTTCGCCCGTATTTAGGTTTGGAAGTAGATGCGATTGTTTCAGTGGTCAGACCACATTTTATTCTTTGCCGTACAGAAATTTCCAATGTAATGATAAGTCTTCCACGTTTATCTTCGGAGTCAGTAAAAAAAGAAGAATTCAGCCAGTCCATTTTAAAACCGTTTGACAAAATAAGAGTTAAATTGACTCAAATTGATAACAATTTTGGCTCTCCAATTTTACAAGGTGACTTTATGGAGTGTCTTTCGAAACCCTTATCAAAATATTCCGAGCAACAGCATAAACATCAAACAAATTCTGCTGGCACTGATATGAGTGATATAAAACCAGTAATAAAAGTCTCCGATGATACTGATAGTTATCAGACTACTTCGTCATTTCATAAAAAGTCTTCTGATCCAGTCACTTTTCCGACTAATTCACCTCACCATAAAACACCAAAAGTTAGGAAACCAAAGATTCGGAAACTTGAAGAATCATTACAAGAAGTTGGAGTCCTCGATAATTGTAGTGCAAGTCTCTTAACTCATGATGAGTCGCCATCTGGTTCACTGAAGAGATTACGAAATGAGAACTCATCCACTTCCAAAGTATTAAAAAAGAAAGGTAATTCAGATTCAGAAGAGATTATCCCTGCTTTATTAAATGATGCACTGTTAAAATGTGGTAGAAAATACAGGTCAAGCCATAATCTATTATCTTCTGTAACTGTAAAAGAGGAACCAACTTGATCTTTTACCAATAAATGTGCTATACACGCATACATAGTTATTACTTTCCATATTTTTCATTTATAATGTATAAATAAATGATTATGTTTGCAGTTTTGTTAAGTTCCTAGATCAATCTTTAAAATTATTATGTACAACAGTTTCATTGACGATGAAGCATTGCAGTATTCTAGTGTTTGGTAAATTCTTGCCACCTTCTAATATATGCAGATAAACGTGCTTCTGATTACCACAGTTTGTATGATGTCCTTCCGATAAATGGAAGCCAAATGGTCATCGAAAACGTTTTAGAATCCCTTTTCTATCGTACCGCTATCTTTCTGTAAAGGTTTATCACTAAGTATGGTCTGTGATCAATATTCATAATAACTATCTAGGATGTTTAAATAACTACCAATCATAGTCTTATGTCAGTGCATTGTCTATAGGTTTCTCTTTTCTAGTCATCTTGAACTCTCAGTTTGTGTGCAAATTTTTGTATGATATATTTAGTTTTCAAACATAGTACCAAAGAATCTTCGAAAACCAAGTAGTTTCGGCGAAGTTGGTTGTATTTACCGACACTGAATAGCTCATAATTCTGGGCTTCGTCAGTATCAATAATAGTGTCATGCCGTAATAAGTATTCGGTCAGTTTTCTATGAATATAATCTCTTAAATTTTAACGTCAACAAAAACGCGTATGAAATTTTTAGTTTTATTTTTCTTGGATTAATTCGGGCGTAGTTGCATGCTTGATGAAGCCAAGATTTCAAGTAAATGCTCCGAGGAGAGTATTAGTTTTCAAGAGATATCTTTGAAAATCTAACGAAAATATAGTCACGTCTATAATCTAGAAAAGTTAGTCTTACTACTTTTGAATATCAGCAGCAGGCTAGTCAACTTGAAAAATGCGTCTTTTTGTTACCTCCAGGTCAAACAGTGTTTACTTTTATATTTAGATTTCGTAGTGGCTGAAAATAGGTTACGTTTGAAGAACTAGATAAAAGTGAATGCGGTTATCTATTCACTTATCTTGCTTGGCAGAATGACCATCTAAATGTGTGACTTTTCCCGCCCCTGTTTGCTGATTGTAGTCTTTTACCTTGAAGTGTTCTTAACTTTTAGAAAAATACTAGGTAGGTTCCCCAAAATTTATTGTTCACATTGGTCGAACCCAGATTTATGGACACCCAGATGATAACTACGGACAAACCGAGTTATGTTTTGGTTCTTTTATGGCATTTACGTATATGACGTACCAATCTCCTAATTGCGGCTCACATTGGATTGTCGGAGTTTCTTACATAATGCTAGTGAGAAATGGTCTATATTATACAATAGCCTTTGAGAAGAATATATTAAAAGTATGAGCGATAATAAGAGGCTGTGTTAATATAGCTGTTGCGATTGCTGAACAGATATATCATGTATCATTTTGAATTGATCCATTCACAGGTGTTACAAAATTCAAACATATAAACAGTTAGTAGTAGAGTTTATTTATTTATTTATTTATTTGAACACATAAATATTGGAACAAGAGAGCGCCAATATATATGCGCCACACAAAACAATGAAAATTCGAAGAGAGATAGAAAAAAAAAACTAAGGACCACAAAAGGTAGTGTGGTCGTAACGACGGAACGGAAAGGTACAATCAGAAGAAATCTTTCAAGTAAGGGAGACACAACCACTTTTTATGAAGAAAGTAAAAGAAGGTTACAGCAGGATCGCCACTGGCTTCTATTCTGAGCCATATCTGATAACGTCTCTAGCCACTGTGTAGCACCATCTCTCAGACCCCAACCAGGGAGTCGTGAAGGACCGACAGAAGCCAGTCCTTTGCAGCTTTCTTTCATACCACGACACCATGTCATGCACTGACCACCTCTCCGCTTTTTCCAACCAGTCCCAGAGTCGGCAAATAATGCACGACGTGGAATTCTCTGGGACGACATTCGTAGAACATGTCCAATCCACCGAAGTCGGTGTTTCAAGATGGTGACACCAATTGAATTATCATCTCTGTGCCCAAACACACGATGCCGAACCTCTGCATTACTAACATGGTGTTGCCACTGAATGTCAGCAATCCTTCGGAGACAGCGATGATCAAACACGGAGAGTCGTCTAACATCCTCAACTCGGAGAGGCCAGGTTTCACAAGCATAGAGCAAAACTGCTCTCACCGACGCGTTGTAGATCCGACCTATTACAGCCAGACTAAAATCACGAAGGCACCAAAGATGACCCAGATTGGCATAAGCCACTCTGGCTTTCACTATACGTGCATTGATCTCATCACTCACACCCCCACCAGCACTTATGCAGCTACCCAGATACACGAACTTCTCGACTACGTCTATCTGCTCACAATCCAGGGTGAGTACAGGATTAAAATCCTGCCAGTCTTGTAGAAGTACTTTGCACTTCGAAGGTGCAAAGCACATACCATACCTACGGACACTGATTGCCAACTGATTAAGTGCGGATTGCATGCCTTGGGTATTATCGCACAGTAAGACAATATCGTCCGCATACTCAAGGCCGAGAAGTCTTTCTCCAGGCAACAGATCCACACCACCATTACTTACATTCATCAGAGCTGTTTCTAGAATGTCATCGATGGTAAAGTTGAAGAGGAATGGTGAGATTGGGCAACCCTGCCTAACTCCACTACTCGAATGGAACAATGGAGAGAGGTGGTTGTATGCCCTCACTCTGCCTGAGGTGTTTTTATATAGGGCTTTTAGGATGTTAATAAACTTCTCAGGCACACTCTTCTTCAATAGACAATCCCAGAGAACAGTCCTGTCCAACGAATCGAAGGCAGCCCTGATGTCAAGAAACACTACGATTGTTGGCCTTTGATAAGTATGGCGGTGTTCTAACATTTGGCGGAGGGTGAAGATATGATCAATACATCCTCGACCAGAACGAAACCCAGCCTGCTCCTCGCGAGTCAATCTTTCTCGGGTTTTGAACAACCTACGAAGTATGACGGAAGCCAATAGCTTGGACGCAATCGGAAGTAGACTTATCCCCCGATAGTTGTTGCAGGAACGACGTGAACCCTTTTTAAAGATAGGGACAACTATCGACTCATTCCATGACGTTGGTACACTCTCTAATTCCCAAACCTTTGTAAACAACGTCGTCAATTCCTTAGTCAAAAAGTCACCACCATCTTTAAAAAGAGCCGGAGGTAAGTCATCTGGGCCAGGTGATTTGTAACGCTTCAAGAGTTGGAGTTCCTTGCGGACTTCCTCCTCGTTTGGTGGATCAGTCGTCACCAGCCATGGAGGGCAGGACAGTCTGACCGATGTTGCCGGAGCAGCAGGCCAGTTGAACTGCCCTTCGAAAAATTCTGCCCATCGTCCAAGACGTCGATGGATGTTAGTGATTGGCATCCCATCATCCTCGCAGATTGTTTCACTCACACCAGACTTCTTGCTGCCAGTGGCTCGGATGAGCTGGAAGAGCTTCCGGTAGCTACCAGATGCAGCTGCTGCCTCCAGCTCATTAGCACGCTCCGACCACCAGGCTTCTCGGTCCTTACGCAAGCTTTGCCCAATTTCCCTACGTAACATCCTTCGTTTATGGTCAAACTCACGGTCACCCGGAGTGGACCGACGGGTTTCAATGAGTTGTAAGGAACGAGAAGAAACCCAGTGCTTAAAAGCGGGACGTTTCGAAAACCCACAACTGACTGTTCCCGCCATTTTCATGGCGTCATGCAATTGCAACCAATACTCATCTATACTTTTCGGTGGGGTGGTAGCTAGCCTAAAGGCTAGCTCGGTTCGATACTTACTTGCAACAGAAGTTGCAACCAACTTGCTGACATCAATCCTTTGGTGGTGGTCACTTCGTTGTCCACTGAAAAGTAAGGCAAGATTGGCGCAGACCAAGGCATGGTCAGAGTCCAGATAGGTACTCCAAAAGGAGCGGCAGTCTTTTACACAACCACGCCAGCGGTAGCTGATCGCGATGTGATCAATCTGAGTCCAGGCTTGGGATGCAGAGGGAGGACCCCAGGTGGCACATCGGCGATGACTGTGCCGAAAGTTAGTGCTAGCCAGAAACAGGTTGTGGTCTGTGCAAAGTTGCAGTAGACGGTCCCCGTTATCTGACCTGCGACCAACGAGTCCCCATCGGCCACCTAAACGACTCTCTTCTGTGCCTAGACGCCCGACCTGAGCATTCAAGTCTCCGGCTAGTACTACAATATCTGTCGAGCGCACTTTCTGGAGAAGAACAGATAACTGGTGGTAAAACTCATCCTTGATTGCATCCGGGCTGCAATCTGTCGGGGCATAGGCAGAGATGACGAAAAGACATCGTTTCTCACGCCGATTTCTTCTCACTTTGATGGAACTTTCTAATCTAACAGCACATAGCCGACTGTTAATGGGGATCCAATCAACTAGTGCTGCCTCAGCTCTAGCGCTTAGTGCGACACCAACGCCAGCAAGACCAAACGAAGATGCCACAGGGTCCCCGGATAAGCGCACGTAAAACAAGCTTTTCGAAGCGACAGATGGAGATCGAATTTGTAGTACTTCGCCAGAGTCTTGAATACGGGTCTCGGATAGACAACAAACATCAATATTAAGACTTTCCAAAGACATAGCCAGCCCTATCTGTTGTCCGACCTGCACTAGTGTGCGAACGTTGAAGGCAGCCAGTTTGAATGGTGCACGTGGTTTCAGAAAAACTGCTTCAGTTCTCGTAATCGGTGGTAACATACAATTTTCAACCGGACAGTGACTCGAGAACGTTTAGATACAGTCGAATTTCCACCAAAGACGAGCCGCTGTATAAGTATAAAAGAGGGTGAACAATGTGGAAAATAATAATAATAATGACAATAATGGTAATAATAATAATGGTATTAATAATGACAATAATAGTAATAATTATTTGAATCGATTGAATGTTGATCGGAGCGAGGAAATTAGTTGCCATAGTCATATAGTTCATGGTTTGTGTGTGGGCTGTGATACTGCCCGGGTGCCCAAACCGAAGCAGATGGTTATCTTAGGGGGCCACACCCCGAGCCTTTGACCTAATGGTCTAACCCACAAGGCAGTGGAGCATCGTAAGGAGA